TTTTTTTTTTTTTTTGAGATGCAGTCTCTGTCACCCAGCAGGATTACAGTGGCGTGATCTCAGCTGCTCACTGCAGCCTCCACCTCCTGGGTTCAAACGATTCTCATGCCTCAGCCTTCCAAGTAGTTGGGATTACAGGCATGCACCACCACGCCCAGCTAATTTTTGTATTTTTAGTAGAGACAAGGTTTCACCATGTTGGCCAAGCTGCTCTGGAACTCCTGACCTCCAGTGCCTCTGGCTCCCAAAGTGCTAGGATTAAAGACTTGAGCTGCCACGCCCAGCCAAGCCTGTGTTTATTTCTCTACAAAGTCCTTTCCCTAGAGAAGCTGCTCCTGCCTTATGTTCCAATAATACCCTAAACTTCCTTTATCGTAACATGTACTGTGCTTGTTTAATTGTTCATTCTTTATGTCCCATCCAGCCTATCCTCCCTGCCAACTAGATTCTGAACCCCTTTGATGGTGTATCTCTTGTTCATTGTTGTAGCTCAGTATCTAGCACAGTGTTTCACATGCAGCAGGTATGCAATAAATATTTGTACAGAGGAAAGGAAGAATGTTTCCCCTTTTGATTTTGTTGTTTTTGATGTTATAAACAATTAACACTTCTGTGCTTATATCTTTGCTAATATTTTCAAGTAATTCTGTATAATAAGGTCCTTATAGTAAGCTTCTAGTTAAAGGATGTATGGAGTAGGACAGTGGTTAAGATTAGAAGCCATAGAGTAAGACATACATGTATTTGAATCCTGTCAGCACAGCTTACCTGCTATGTGATCTTAAATAACTGTCTCTGATTTTAATCTGTAAAATTAGAGTAATAATAGCACCCATGGGTTTCTTGTAAGGATTCAATAAGATCCTGTATATGAAGTATTTAAGTGAACTGACTCATAGCGAGATTGCAATACATTTCAGTTTTTATTCTTCTTATTGTGATGCACACTTAAGAGTTTGATGTATATTGCCAAATTATGCTTCTGAAAGGTTGTACCAGTTTATACTGCCACCAACTGGATATGAGAATGTCTTTTTCTCTCTCTTTTTCTGGTAATATCTGCTGTCATTCTTTTTCATCTTTGTCAATCTGGCAAGTTAAAAAAAAAAATGCTATGATTGCCAATCTTTAAGTTGTTAATGAAGTTGAGTATCATTTCATATGTCTTCAGGCCATTTGTATGTTTTTGTGAATTGCTTTTTGTATTCTCCCTGTTTCTATGGGGTTGTTGGATTATTTTAATTACTTTTGAAATGCTTTTATACATTAAGGATATATTCAGTGAAAATATTTTTCTCAGTTTTCTTTAGAAATATGTAAACAAAATGTTTCTCTAGTTAGGTTATTTATATTTTAATAATTTTCTGTCAATGTGTCATGCCAAAAATAACCTTTTTAAAAATTGTAGAACCATTATATTGAGTTTTCTTCTGGTACTTTTAAAAGTGTTTTTTTTTAAAAAAAAAAAAAAAGTGTTTTTTTATTTGTTTAAATCTTTATCTACCTAGAGTTATATACAGATTTATAACAAATCTTACAAAAATGTGTTTATTTTAAAATTTACAAAATGTTAACTCTTTATATGCCTCTAATATATAACATATCTTTAAGCAGATAAGAATTATGATGGGACTATTTCAAGTTGGGAATGTTTGAGAAGTTGTTGAAGAACGTTTTTTAAATGTATGTACATCTCTAACTGCCTCCAAAAATAAACATCTTCAAAAAAATTTTTTTAAACAGATATTGTCGGCATGTGCTTTGTGAAACTGTTCGAACTGCCAAATTGACCCCAGTTTCTGCCCGGCTTCAAGATATTGAAGGAAAAATTGACCAATTTATTATTCCTAGAGAGGTAGAAAACATTTATTATGTTTAATTCATTCATTTATTCTCAACTCTTTTGGGGTGGGAGTGGTGTGTGTGTGTGTGTGTGTGTATGTGTGTGTGTGTGTTTAGATGGAGTTTTGCTCTTGTCACCCAGGCTGGAGTTCAAATGTGCGACCTTGGCTCACTGCAACCTCTGCTTCCTGGGTTCAAGCGATTCTCCTGTTTCAGCCTCCCAAGTAGCAGGGATTACAGGCACCTGCTGCCACACCCAGCAAATTTTTGTTAGAGATGGGGTTTCACCATGTTGGCCAAGCTGGTCTTGGACTCCCAACCCCAGGTGATCCGCCGCCCACTTCAGCCTCCAAAGTGCTGGAATTACAGGCATGAGACACCACCCCCGTCCACCATAGTTTATTTAAGCAGCCACTGCTAATGGAAATCTTGATTGACATTGATTTTTTTATTATTTACTGGTACAGATATTGAGTAGAGTCTTAGACATGGGGTTTTTGTGTCAAAGTCCTTGTGTATGTTCAATTATTATTATTTTTAGATAGGGTCTTGCTCTGTTACCAACCTCCCAGGCTCAAGTGATCCTCCCATCTTGGCCTCCCAAGTAGCTGCACTAAATTTTTTTATTTTTTATAAAAACAGGGTCTCACTATGTTGCCCAGGCTAAACTCCTGGGTTCAAGTGATCCTCCCACCTTAGCCTCCCAAAGTAGTGTGATTATAGGCATTAGCCACTGCACTGGGCCATGTGTATGTTAAATTTAAAATGTCCTCTAAAAAGCATTTTATGCTTTTAGCAACAATGACAATGTTTTTTCTTTCCAAATCTTCACTACCTCTGAATTTGAGTCTTATGTGTATTTTATGAATCTTGCTTTTCCCTGATCATTGGAGAGATTGAACAACTTTTCATACATATATAAACAGTTTGTATTTTTCTTTTGTGAATTCTGTCTTTATAACTTTCACTCATTTTTCTAGTGAGCTTATATGTATTTTTGTATATTATACAAACTATGTTATATAGCAAATAATTTTTTCGATTATCTTTTACTGTTTACGTTGTTTTTTTATTGTTTTTTAATTGAATGCAGATTTTAAATTTTCATATAGTTAAATCCGTTATTCCTTTATGGTTTCTAGATTTTGTGACATGCTTTGGGAGACCTTCCTCATTGTAAGATGACCAAAATAATTGCTTGTGGTTTATTCCATTATTTTAAATTATTTTGTTTTCGCTATCTATATAAAAAGAAGTTTAGGATAAGGTAACTTTCTGTGGGTCATTTTATCTCTGTTAGTCCTTGACTAATTGGATTATTTTTCACAGACCCTCGTCCTTTATGCCCTTGGTGTGGTACTTCAGGATCCTAATACTTGGCCGTCTCCACATAGGTATGAAATATTTGTCATTGTCTTTGTGACTTGTCATTTTTTGTGTTTGCACATTTTGCAATCCATTTCTAAGTTTTGAGGAGAAAATTTAATATGTAGCAATGATACAAGAGAAGAAAACCAGCGAATCCCCTTTTCTTCTTTCTTATGAGAAGGTCTCTTACCACAGGGTCTCGCTCTGTCACCCAAGCTGGAATGTAGTAAGCAGTGTGATCACTGCTCACTATGGCTTTGACCTCTCTGACTCAAGCCATTCTTCTGCCTCAACCAGCTGAGTAGCTGGGACCACAGGTGCATGCCGCCATGCCTGGTTAACTTTTGTACTTTTTGTAGCGGTGGGTTTCACCATGTTGACCAGGCTGGTCTCAAACTCCTGAGCTCAAGCCACCCTCCCACTTCTGCCTCCCAAAGTGGTGGGATTACAGGCATGCATCACCGAGCCTGACCTGCATCCCCTTTATATCTTCTGTTCACTGCTTTTTCTCTTATGTGAATCTGCTATCTGGTGTTGTCTCTTTCATTACCACTTTTATACTAAGTGAAAAGTAGGATTAACATCTGTTTTAAGAAAATGAAAACAGGCCGGGCGCAGTGGCTCATGCCTGTAATCCCAGCACTTTGGGAGGCCAAGGTGGGCGGATCACCTGAGGTCATGAGTTCCAGATCAACCTGACCAACATGGAGAAATCCCATCTCTACTAAAAATACAAATTAGCCAGGCGTGGTGTCACATGCCTATAATCCCAGCTACTGGGGAGGCTGAGGCAGGAGAATCACTTAAATCCAGGAGATGGAGGTTGCAGTGAGCCGAGATCGCACCATTGCGCTCCAGCCTGGGCAACAAGAGC